CTTAATTGACTCATAATATGTTTATTTTCAGTCCAACGCAGTGATTTGTTACTTTTCAATTACCACTAAGGTTTTAAATTAAGCTCGTTTCTCACATTAGAAGTACCTTTCCAAAAAAAAAAAAAAAAAAAAAAAACAACCCTTAATCAGGGATTATATAGCGTTGCCATTTTTTGGCCCTGATACCGATACCCAATACCTGGCTGCGCAGTATTGGTTGATACCGATACCATCCGTTTGAAATTGATGTGTGTGTGTATATGAAGAACTGCATCCTCCTGGGATGTAAAATAATTGCCATCATGGTTTTGTTAAGCTGCTGCCTACTAGTGATGTTATGAGATGAGCCAAGGCTTCGAGGCGTGTGTCGAGTAATGGAGGGGGAGTTTCCAAGAGGCGCGTATCGAGGCTCGCTTCATTTGGGAGAGGAGTCAAAATAGATGACGTCTGAAGCCTCGCTACACCGCCATACCAAGTGACCGCTTTGGGAAGGGCTCCAGCTTGTCCGGAACTTCGGCAGGCATCTAATAGCCTCAGTATTCAGTAAAGATGTGGAAGTTTGTAGGAGAGTTGGATAGCGTTTGAATAGATTCTAACGATAGATTTGTTGGAAAAAACAACCAATCTAGCTGGTTAAATCTAGTTTGGTTTGATTAAACAATGTAATCATCAAAATCTGAGCGAGCCGCTGGTCACAGTTGAAGTTGATGGTACAAGACCCACCTCAGACATTTGAAAGTTTTTTTTTGGCTAATGTGACTAATTTGTATTGTTTGCCCTAGTACAAATATAGATTGGGTAAAAGCACTACCAAAGTTAGATTGGTTGGATTGACCAAAAGATTGGTTGAACACAACTTCCAACCTGATTAAAACCAAAAACTCTTGAAAAACTATTATGTTTGAATAAAACGACTAATGCCTTTCATTTTGTTCATCTTTTCCCAATTTGCACAAGCACTTCCACTGTCTGCTGGAGCTTATTTCCCTAAAATGGTAGAAAAACAGTGATTTTTCTCTTCTAAGAAATTTTACACATACAAATCTTACAAAAGATTTTATTATACAGACCAGTCATTAATTTCAAAGGAACTTATATGGGAAAAAAACAAGAAAAACAATTGCAAAAAAATCAGTTTATATTACTAACTGTAGTTCTGCACTCCACCAGTAGGTGGTGACATCTTCAAATGAAGCTTCATGGAGTGTGGGGATCGTTGAAGCAATTTGGCCAAATGGTTCAATGCCTCATGAGGCTTCATCTCACCATCACTACTGCCTACCTTAGCGAAGCAGGAAAAAGACTGATCCAAAGTGAATCCAGTAGAACTTTTTATTGCCTAACTGGAACGGGTGACAATAGTTGAATAAACTTTTAGCTCTCAAAATGGTATCGGCGTAACCTGACAAACCAGGCTAAATGTGAGATTAAATGTGTAATTTAGTCTGGATGAATGAGACATCGGAAGATTGTTGATGAGAACAACCCGTTGTCTTTCAGACCATGTCTGTGCCTATTGGCCAACGCTCTGACCAATGAGAGCAACTGACTGTGACGTAGTAAGTCCTCTCAACTTTGGAAAATGTTTTTAAATTACGCATTAAATCGGTAAATGGACCATATAGTGATGCTTTAGATTATAATATTCTCGCCTCAAATGATCTTAAAACGTACTTTTATTGAACAACAAAAAAGAGAACTTGTTTTGCTTTCTCCAGCTTCGCACAGCTTTGTCGTCTCGCCCTCAAAACCCCGCCCGCTTTGCATCCAGAAATTCAAAACACATCTCTGCGTTGTGATTGGCCAGCCACTTCTAGGGCCTGGGGCATTGATCAAGGCTAAACCGCTCACAGGCAAAAATGATTTTGGCTGCTGGCGGATGGGGCTAGTTTACTAGGCTAGTATCGGTGCCCTATTTGTTGGTACTCTCCGATACTGATACCTCCATTTTAGTGCTGGATCTGGGCCCTGTCCGATACTTGTATTGGTGCAAAACTAGTATTCTGGGAAAAGAAGTCAGAATTCTGAGATAAAAGTCAGAATCCTGAGAAAAAAGTCAGAATTATGAGATTAAAGTCAGAATTCTGAGATTAAAGTCAGAATTCTGAGATTAAAGTCAGAATCCTGAGAAAAAAGTCAGAATCCTGAGAAAAAAGTCAGAATCCTGAGAAAAAAGTCAGAATCCTGAGAAAAAAGTCAGAATCCTGAGAAAAAAGTCAGAATTATGAGATTAAAGTCAGCATTCTGAGATTAAAGTCAGAATTCTGAGGGAGGAAAAAAAAGTCAGAATTCTGAGATTAAAGTCAGAATTCTGAGATTAAAGTCAGAATTCTGAGATTAAAGTCAGAATCTTGAGAAAAAAGTCAGAATCCTGAGAAAAAAGTCAGAATTATGAGATTAAAGTCAGAATCCTGAGGAAAAAAAGTCAGAATTCTGATATTAAAGTCAGAATTCTGAGATTGAATTTAGAATCCTGAGAAGAAAGTCAGAATTCTGAGATTAAGTCAGCATTCTGAGAAAAAAACTCAGAATTATGCAATTAAAGTCAGAATTATGAGATTAAAGTCAGAATCCTGAGAAAAAAGTCAGGATTCTGAGATTACATATATACCTCTCATAAATGTCTGCAATGAAATATGTTTTTAATTAGTCAGATTCACTAATATAACCCGATGAACCAAAATGATTCCCATGATATCCTTTTGAACTGATGCTGAACCGTTTCTTCACCTTGTGGAGTGTTTCCTCTGTGGGGGCTCGGTGTGTTGGCCCTGCTCCTCTTCACTGCATTCCCCTCAGACACATCCTTTAACTCCTCATCTCCTCTGCCCTCAGAGCGGTCTCCCTCCTTAGGCATCCTGCAGAATAACAGGTGACAGCTGCAGAGGCTTTTATCAAACCATGTTGGAGGTGTAGGAAATAATGCCATCAACTGAGGAAGATGTTTAGGCTTGTTTTGATGATCTCATTCAAAAGGGAAGAGGAGGGGTAAGGGAGGAAGAGTCAGCGGGATGCTAGAGAGGTGAAAAACGACATAATAACAGCTTAAGTTCTTCCTGTTTCTACGATCTGTTTCCACATTTACCTTTATTTAAAAGCTGGGCGTTAAGAGATGCTCCGTATCTGTAGAGCTCAACTTCTTCACCGTTAGCAGGATGACTCTAAGCCAACAACAAATCCCACAGCTTCTCCTTCACAGCTCACACATGGCGCCGCGGTGACTCCTCTGATTTATTTACACCTTCCGATCAGCAGTGGAGAATCTCCGACAGAAGCAGTTCTGGGTTTTCCAAATGAAAAACTCGATTCTATTGACGTCGCAGCTCGAAAATTTCCATCAGCTCATCGCAGTGTCTGAGAAAACGGACACTTCCTGTTATGGGCGGAGCTAGTGCTACGTCACAGCCGAGCCCTCTTGCGCACGCAGACCCAAGTTAACTACGCAGACTGAAAGACTGAATCCTGAGAAAAAGTCGGAATTCTGAGATTAAAGTCGACATTCTGAGGAAAAAAATGCAGAATTCTGAGATAAAAGTCAGAATCCTGAGAAAAATTCGGAATTCTGAGAAAAATTCAGAATTCTTTCCCATATTAAACTGAAATAATATTACAAAATTAGTCAAGCTTTTTTAATTTTTTTCAGTGGGCCTAATCCTCTTCCGTACTTAGGATATATGGAGGACTAAAGATGAATAAATAGGCAAATATATATTGAGATAAATAGAAAAAATGTTTTTAAATGAAATAGCCCACTTCACATAACCATTTACCATTATTTCCAGCAAAAATCTTCTCCCTCACCATCTTTCTCTCCTTTGTAGCTATAGATCTGTTTCTCTGTCTTTTAAATAC